ACTATAAGCTTTAATTCTCCATATATCGATATCTTTACAATTATATTTATTTATTTTTAGTGTAATAGTTCTACAGAGACGCAGTATATGTATATATGCTATATGTACTATACTTTATCGCTTAAGATAGGTATTTAATACTCAAAACTATATATATTATACTACTAGTCATACACTATATTTTATATATATACATTATATATACAAATACATCACTTAACACACAACCACAACACACCAACTCACCCAGTCTTCATCTCTCCACGGAGTCTCCAAACTGCTTCTTCGTATCGGAATCTACGATAGACTCTACACTCTCAACTTGCTTCCCACACCACACAACACACACATACCCACCGACACACACACGCACACACCACACACATTCACTACTAGATATATATTTTATCATATTACTTATTATTTCTATAATATCTACACACAGCACAACACACATCTGTCTTCTCAAGTCGTAACACTCGCCTCTTCTCTCGCGCTCTCGACATGACTACACGGTCTGCGTTCGCGTCGACACACCCTCACGCAACCAACAACGACACACAGGGGCCACACCACACATATCAAACTCCAGCACACACACACAATCACACGACACAAACAAGCACATATACAAAACACCTTACTCTTCACCAGTATCACACACTACATCACACCACTTATCTCACAACAGCATTTCCCACACGACAACCACAACATATATATAGATATCATATATATATTTAAATATATATATATAATACTATTTCATACTACATTATACGCTAATACATACATATACCTACACAATATATAATGGTATGTTGGTGCTGTGACATATATTATGTATTTAATACATGTATACGACATATATTGGTACAATTGAATAACCACTTCATATATATATATACGTATTAATACTAGTATCTATACGAATATATATAGTAATATATATTATATATAATTTATACGTACGCATACACACACATACAAAAACCACGCAACCATATAGATATTACACATATGTCATATGTCTATATGTATATCATAATTATACTGCATATATAACTACAGCACACCCCACACAGCACACACAACTACACACGCACAAAACAGCATATTATGATATATATTACTTATATATACTTATATATAACATCTCATAATATATAATAAATAAGAGTCATACCATATATAAATAAATGTATGTACTATATATATACCCTATATAATATATATATATAGTTATATATACTATATATATATTATAATCATAAATGACACAATTAAAATATAACTGAAAACTGTCGGGTAAAACATCCATGCTGAATAAAGCGCAAGCATTTTCCTAACATAAAATCTGGCAGTCATTTACCCTCCTGCACCCAGCTTGTAGGACGTGTTTTGCTGTACCCTTATGCAAGCGTGTCCTGTGTTCAGTTTAAAGATTTCCAAAGTCTTGTTACTGTTTTATCCCGAATGTTGTACAATTACGTAAGCGAGTTCTGTACTTCTTTGGTAAATTGTGTAAAGAGTGAAGTCTGGTATACACTTCAAATCAATGTTTTATGTACACTGGATTCGTGTCATATTCAAACACCTAAATGTAACCAACACCACACTGGAAAATAGACACGAAAAGGTCAAAGAGAGAAGAGGGCTATCTTTCCCTTGGGCTTCTTATATAGAAATAATCCTATGGCGTCTGACCTTCCTAGAATCGAACGACTATTTAGCATTGTTTACTTTCAAGTTAATGTTCGTTCATGGTCTATACCAAGGGGTGACTAGCGACTATGCGCAATGAAAACTAACTAAAAGCGAGGGAAAAAAACAAGGCCACCACATCATATAATGAGAAGAAAAGAGAAATAACAAATTCAACTTTACTATAACGATAAGGAACTATAGGAAATTGAGGTAGTTAATTTGATTACAATAGTGTCATACCAATAATGCCGTAATGATAAGATGTAATATCGAAGATACTAATTACTATTGGTGGTGATATCATAATAAGGCTAATGGCAAACTACAACTGTTAGTAATAAAAATAATAGTTGTGAACATTATAATGATGATGACGACTTCGATAATGATAATCATGCTGATGATATTAGTATCAATATTACTGATACTAATACCGTTAATGATAATGGTATTGATAATGCTGATTGTAGTAAAATTCTATTGATACTGTGCATAGTGATGGTGATAATAACAACGACATTAAGAATGATAATGATAATAACTATAATAAAAATAACAATAATGGTAATAATAATAACAAAACAGCAATAATGATAATGATAATGATGACAACAATTTTAATGATAATAACAATAATGTTAATGATAATAATAATAATCATAATAATAATAATAATAATAATAATAATAATAATAATAATAATAATAACAACAATGATAATAATGATAATGCTAATGATAATAATATTGATAATAACATCAACAACATCAACAACAATAATAGTAATAATAATATTCATTACAATTATGATGATGATCATGATGATAATAATATCAATAGCACTAATGATAATAATGATAATGATGTTAATAATGATAGTAATCATTACAAAAACACAGTACTTATAAGAGCATTTGTAAAGATGATAATAATGATAAAAATGATAATGGTGATAAGTGTCGTAATGACAATGACAATCATAACAATAATAATAATAATACCGACAACAACAAGAGGGTGGGTAATGATAATGGCAGCAATAACAATAATGATAATGATGATGACGATGATAATGATGAATGAGAAATAATAAAGATAATAATAATAATAATAACAACAATAATGATCATAACATCAGTAACAATAATGATAATGGTGATGATTCAGTTGATTGTGATGATAACAATAATAATAATAATAGATATGAATAATAACAATAATAGTGATGATGATGATACTAATAATATTAACAATAATAATAATTATTACAATAATAATTCTGCTTTTGCTTCTGATGATAATAATAATAAAGATAATAAACATGAAAATGGAAACATAATGATTTGAAATAATGATAATAATAATGATGATGATAACAATAATAATGACGATAATAATGATGATAACAATAATGATATAATATAATAATAATATAATATAATAATAATAATAATAATAATAATAATAATAATAACAACAACAACAATAAGATTAACATTTATAGAAAGAATATTATAATGATGATGATGATTGTGATAATAACAATGATAACAATAATAATAGTGCCACAATGACACTGCTAACAACAATAATTATAATAATAGCTACAGTAATACTGTTTGTTGACAATGATAATAATAGTAACAATAATAATCATATTGAAAAATAATGGTGAAGATGATGACAGTGATGATAGTGATGATGATGATAATAATAACAACAATAACAACAATAACAACAATAATAATAAAAATATGAAGAATAAGAATATTCAGAAAACTTTCTACGTCTACTAAAACCTGATTCTCATACTAATGCTAACGTCAATACTGATACTAATACTAATGTAAAAAAGCTACTGTTTCACCCACTGTCTCTCATAGTAATTCTCAATTAAAGAAAGAAAATAGAATCTGAATCTCACAGAATGCAAAACGTATTTACCAAGAAATATGTATCTATTCGTTATCACAGAATCTGAGAAACGTTTTACGACCAAAAAAACGTTTCAAACCTGACCTTCTCTCTTCCTCTTGCGGCTTCAGGGAAATTCTTGGGGTCCGTTTCCCCCACAGAGTTGAGGCCAGGCATTTCTTCTATCTGTTTGTCTGTCTGTTAGTCAATTCTATTTATTTAGCTATCTCTAAATACGTATGCATATATGAATAGGGATCCTAGCATATTTATATAAGATATATATATATATATAATATTATATATATATATATATATATATATATATATATATATATATATATATATATATGTATGTATATATATATATATATATATATATATATATATATATATATATAAATAATGTGTGTGTGTGTGTGTGTGTGTGTGTGTGTGTGTGTGTGTGTGTGATAATAACAACAATTATACTCATAATGTCAATAACAATAATGATAATAGTGATGATGATTCAAATGATGATGATAACAATATAATAATAATATATAATAATAATAATAATGATGATGATAATGATGATGATAATAATAATAATAATAATAATAACAATAACAATAATAATAACAATAATGATTCTGCATCTGTGTCTGATAATGATGATGATGGTAATAATGATAATAATAATAACAATAATAATAATAACAATAACAATAAAACAACTACAAAGCAACAACAACAATAATAATGATAACAACAATAACGATAATAATCCCACGAATAGATCAAACAGAGAACATCAATAACAACCCCAACCAAGCCAGTCCCACTGGAGGGAATATCAGCAGTAACGTGAGTAATATTTTTATTAATACAACTATTATGGTCTGCGCATAGCTGCGTCGCACAGCGCCCTGGCACTCTCGTGGCCCTTACAGCACACATACAACAACACGAGGAATGTGGTTGATTTAGCCTTTTTCTGGGGTCGGCAAAGAGGGTTGGATTTTGCGAAGGGGCAAACCTGCATGAACTGCCAAGATCAGTGATAAAATATAACCTTGGTAGTTTTTTGTTGATAACAACTACATGCCAGCGAGCGGTGAAGAGGATGATGTAATGATGTGTTCCTATTTTGGCGGAAATAACTGTCGAAACGTACCATGAAACAAAACGTAGAGAGCGTGAAGTTGGTGAGTTGAGTAAAGATGTATTTGTCTGCATGTGTACGTAGAACGAATGTAGTTTTCTTTGTCCCGTTCTTAACCTCAAACATTTCCAACAGCGCGCGTTTGTACTTGTTCCTTCTACGTATGCGATGCGAGCGAAGCCTCAAGACAGGAGTAAGCCCGTGATTCACCTACTGAAGCACCACTACACGTGAATCATTCCGTTCATTACAAAAGGCAGCGCAAACCGATCAGTTGGCACCCCTGCCCCGTCTCCATCCGCTTACCACATGTGTCAGTGAGTTGTCAGCCCTGCTTGGTGGAGGAGCGCCCGAGCCCACGTAAGCACAGAAGCGTTTAACTCGCACGAAACCTTACGAACTGACAATGTACCGGGATTTCGTGACTGAAAATACCTCTACATGTTTTGCTGGAGAACTGCCAAGCGTGTGATCTTGTGTGAAAATTTGTTATCATCTTTCTATTGGAAAGTTTCAAGCGGTTCGGAACAAACTCCCGAGTGTGTTGCAAGTAAAATATTATAATATGTGGGTTTTATCGAGAGCAGCGAGAAGCGAGCTGTGTGAGGCCTCGTTCGTGAAGTGAGAAAACTTGAGTGTGAAACAAGTAAAAGTTTGGGTCCATGAGGTCTGCTTAACCCTTGCGCCACTTTAAGGACACAGGGCCAGGGAAAAAGTATTGACAGTGAGGGACAATTATTATTCTGCACCGGATAATTCACTCATAACAGCGACCACTTTAATCATGGCTTTAATGATAATAATGACAACGCGAATCAATTTCTTTTGATTAATTCATTACCGTGAGGATATTATCGCCATTGTAAGTAAATGAATTATGTTGCTAAACTAATAGAGTACTTAATAAAAGTGATAATGATATGATGACAGTGATAATGGAAATCATGATTGTGGTGATGATTATATAGATGATAATCATAATCTTGATAAGAGTATTATTGTCACGAAGACGTTAAACCAAAATGGAAAAATACAGTGATCATGTATGGTTTCTGAAAATAATGAGGGTATTTTTAATTTTCATTTTATGAATATGTATGAATAGGTAAAAATTATTATTATTATTGTTTGCATTTCTATGTTTACTTTTACAGATTTTTTATGGTAATTAAGATAATGATAATGATATTAATGATTATAATGGTGTTAATAATAATAATGATGATAATGATTATGATAATGAGGATGAAAATGATCATGATCATAAATATAGTAATATGGATGATGATATTAATGGTATTAATAGTAATGGTATTAGAAATGGAAATATTAATAATAATGGTAATGATAATAATAATGATAATGATAATGGTGGTAATGATGGTAATAATGGTACTTGTGCTAAAAATGATAATTATGATATTAATAAAAATAATAATGATAATGAATATGATAATAATAGAAATTAAAATGGTAACAATAATAATTGATAAATAAAAAAAATAATGTAAATGATGATAAAGATAATGGTAATGATAATAACAATAATGATAATAATGGTAATGATGATAATAATAATAATGATAGTAATGATTATTAAGATTAATAATGTAATGATAATACTAATGATCATGATAATAATGATTATAATAACAGTGATAATAATGAAAATTATAATAATAATAATGATGATAATGATGATAATATAAAATAATGAAATAATAGTAATAATAATGATAATAATAATAGTAATAATCATGATATTAATAATCATAATGATAATGACAATAATAATGATATTAATAATAACGATATTGAAGATAATGATGATTATGGAAATAAGGATAATAAGGATAATAACGAAAATAATAATGGTAACAATGATAATAACAATAAGGATAATAAAACTAATGGTAAAAATGATGATGATAATAAAGATAATGATAATTATGATAATGATAGTAATAATTATGATAATAGTATTAGTATTAGAAATAATTATAATTATATAATAATGAAAATGATAAAAATAATAGTGATTCATAAAAATGATAATAATAATATTAATGATAATGATAGTAATACTACTAATAATAAGGATAATAAGAATAATATGATCACTATTGTTATTGTTATTATTATTATTACTATTGTATTTTACTAACGTAGGCCATGATGATGGTAACAACAGTGAAAGAGTATAGAAAAAATAGAGCCAGCAATGATGAGGATAGTAATTGTGATCATACAGTTGTCATCGTCATCATTAAGATTGATAACAAAAAATTATGTTATATCAATAAGGGTGGCTCTGTTAATGGTAGTAATGGTAGCAGTGATAGCAGTAGTAGTAATGATAAAGGTGTAAATAATGATAGTGATAAGAACAATATCGCAATCAGTATTACAATAATATACTACAGATAGGATAATGAAGATAGTGGTTATGATAACTATTTTATAAACATCTATGATAACGAATATAGCAGTGGTTATGATAGTAATAACAGTAGTGGTAAACATGAAATAAATGGTAGCAGTGACTGAAAATTGTAGCAGTGACGATAATAAACCTCGTAATGATGATGGAAGGATAATGGAGACAGTAATGCCGTTAATAACAGACACGGTAAACATCTTACTACTCTTTACTGTAGAACTATATTGGTAATGCTAACAACAGTAACGATTTCGAACAGTTCTTACGTACAACCAAACAGAGCAAACTTGTAACAGCAACAGTGTAAGCAGTAAGATAAGATAAACACTTGATAACTTCATCAGATCTAATCGCATCTTTTATGGATACAATAAGAATGATTACGATAATAAGAATAATGATGACAGCAGTTTTCACGTGACAGTTATTCAACACGACTCGGTCCCTTTTTTGCTTCTCTTTGCTTGCTAACGGATATAGTTACATCCTCTTATTACTCGGATCACTATTGTATATTTGGCATTACGTACCGTTTACAAGAATACGATTCGTGAATCTTCTCGTCTATTCCTTGAAAGAAAAAAGGAAGAAAGAGAAAAAAAGAAAAAAAAATAGGACGAACATACAAAAGGCGAAGTGGCAGAGGTTCCCAGACAGTCTCTTTACATATTCGTGTGGATTTAAACCGCAGAGTAACCAGCTGAAACGATTGCGCTCTCGGACCCTCAGAAAAAGCGAGGCACCCACATGGCCTGCCGTGTTGGGCGCCGCGAACGTTCTTGCTCGCGAACACGTGATAAGAGAGCTGCGTGGCGAGTCGGCTGGTTTGGGTTGGTTGTGAGTTTGTTTATATGTTTGTGTGCGTATATATATATATATATATATATATATATATATATTATATATATATATTTGTGTGTGTGTGTGTGTGTGTATGTATGTATACATACATATAAATATTTGTATGTATATATAAACACACACACACACACACACACACACACACACACACACACACACACCACACACACACACACACACACACACACACACACACACACACACACACACACACACACACACACACACACACACACACACACACACACACACACACACACACACACACACACACACACACCACACACACACACACACACACACACACACACAACACACACACACACACACACACACACACACACACACACACACACTCACACACACACACACACACACACACACACACACACACACACACACACACACACACACACACACACACACACACACACTATATACATATATAAATATACATATACACAAGTATAAATATCTATATCTATACATATATATCTATATCTATCTATCTATCTATCTATCTATCTATCTATATATATATGTATATATATGTATGTAAATATAATATATAAATTATATATACATATATATATACATATATATATATATATATATATATATATATATATATATATATATATATATATATATATATATATATATATATATATATATATATGTGTAAATCATAATCATGAGCATTATTGCCATTTATGATTATCATTAATAATTACTGAATGTTCATTTATATGATAATACTTATTGACAATGTGTTGTGAACTGTTATAACATGAAAATAAGGACGATTGATTTCGAATGAATTTTAGATCAAGTAAGAAGAAGAGCGAAGGCAACATGCAAAAAAGATTTGTGTGCAAGCAGGGATAAGTCGGGTCGTGAAATCGTTTTGCTATCAGTGCGTTTTTATGTAAATCTCCGGACGATTTGGAGAAAAGAAAAACAAAGAAAAGTCTGGTTCGACGTTTTTTTCTATGCAGGAAACGTGGCGGAAAACAGAAATGACGCAGTCAGGAAACAGTAAAATGACGCACAATTAATATCCGTTTTTTTTTCTTGCAGAACTTTTTTCTTATCAAGTTTAAATACATCGTGTAAGATACCGAATATGCCATTCTTTTGCACAAGGCCTAGTAAGCACAATTAAATGAGATTACACAAGTCCAGAGCGAGAGTGCGAGTGCCACAGACAAAGCCCCGGATGGACAGGTTAAAGACGGAACGAAAGAGGAAACATGCAACACACGGAAGACCCATTTCCGCAAGATCACCCGCTTAAAGGTGAGATGCAGGAAAATAATCTCCGCCAAAGATTGGATCCGCAGCCCCAGCCTCAGCCTGATACACAACAACAACAAGGAGGTGAAGAACAGCTGTTAAAACATCGCCTGTCTTCGCACCAGCTGTCAGAACATCACGCACATCATGTCCAGGAAATATCCAAACATCCTCACGTCACGGCGGATTCCAGTAGGAGGAGAGAAGATGGATTTAGGCAGATGACAGGTCGGGAGCGGATCAGGTATTTTAGAAACAATTTTTTTTTCATTCAAACGCGTGTAAACTATTTTCTATTTCTGAATCCCGCATCTATTTCTGACTATCAGATAATCATATAATACATGCTATTCTTAATCTTGAAGTTCCACAACATACATCATGATAATCCTGTCATGTACCTTATCGTCAGTGTAAATCCCGATCAAACAGACTTCCATATCCCTCGGCAGCATCAACAAAGACCTGATCGGGACGCCGTCGAATTTCCAGCACATCGGCCACATTAATCGAGAGGTCACGTCCACTCAGACCACGGAGGAAGTCAGAAATCTCTTCCAAATGGTGATTGCATAACGTCCCTTTCGCATAGGGGTGGGCTCTTGATACCGAGTGTGACAGTAATTGTTTTCCAT